GGTCACGCAACAACTAAGTAGTAGAGGTGGTATTCAAACTGGACCAAGCTGACATCGGCGCCCTTTCTGGGAACTCGACTTACCAGAGCAGTGGGTTCTACAGCCTTTCCTCAAATGCATTCTGAGCTGGAGCCAGCGTTATCAATCTTACTGTGCAACTCCAATGAAGAAAACCTTGCTGTACAAATTTCAAATAAACACACTTGCAGAAATATCACATTAATTTCCACATTCTCACAGGATTTGGCAACACTATTGTATTATCTCAAAATGAGTGGGAAGTTTTACATCCCGCACGTCACTGTTTCCCGTGGGAACATAGGCCACCCTATGGAAGAACACTGCTTACGGCTTGGTGCCTGTGGCTCAAGCGGCTAAGGCACCAGCCAAATACACCTAAAATGGCGGGTTCGAATCCAGCCCAGGCCCACCAAACAACAATAATGGCTGCAACCAAAAACATAGCCGGGCGTTGTGGCGGGCGCCTGTGGTCCCAGCTACTTGGGAGGCTGAGGCAGGAGACTCGCTTGAGCCCAGGAGTTGGAGATTGCTGTGAGTGATGCCATGGCACTCCAGCCAGGGGGACAGCTTGAGGCTCTGTCTCAAAAATAAAGAACACTGCTTACTGAAATGCCACTGACTGGACAAACGCGGGAGAACCAGGAGACTGAGGGGCACCGGGGCACTGATACCACGTAGAGGTCCATGAACCTCAGAGTCAAAAATCATACCTAATATGATTTAGAAAAACACTTAACCCACTCTATGCTAAAGAACCACCTTGAAGAACAAAGTTAAGTCTTCTCTTGCTCAAAAAGTCATTTCTAGCTGTTTACTACCTATTGCTGATAATATATGAACTACATGACTTTGAACTTAATCATATGCCATTGTGTATTGGTCAGTTTCAAAGGCCTTGTGTCTAAGATCAAGTCTGTAAACTAAGACCAGAGACTATACCCTGTTTTATACTTAAACACTAGTTAAAGTTCATAATAGATGTTAAGTTTTTAGTTAAGGAATCAAAAAGGTTAAGTAGATGTTTATTCAATACCCTCACTCAATAAAAAACTTGATTTTATTTTCTATAATTGATCATATTCCTCATTTCTGATTTAATGAAAGCCTTTAACATGTCATTTTATTGACACAACCCAATAAAGTAAAAGTAAACACCTTTTGTTGGAACTACATGGTTTGAGAAAGACAGGGAGGAAAAAAAGTCAAATTGTGGCAAAGATGTTGATAGCCACAAGAGAGCAATGTCATGAGAACAATTTTACACACTTGGCTTCATATGCTTAGTTTGGCTGTAACAAATTCAGTTCAGTCAAATAACACCCCAATCCTGATACCTTAAGAATATGGTAAGACTATGCCCTATGTCAGATCATAATGCTAAACAAATATGGACTCTCTAAATTTAAGCTGTCACTAGCATTCACTCAGAAAGTGTTCATTAAACTTTGGGTACTTGGTACAATACACATTGGGAATACAGAATCTAAGGAGACATTGACTGATAAGACGAAATCCTACAGGGAAGGAAAGTTATACATGTATGAACCAATTTTGTGCATCAAAATATAAAGTCAATTGTCTAAAACAGACCTCAAGGGCAATGGTAACTCAAAAACATCACTGTGGCCATGGATGTTGGTGTTTTCAATGAAAGTGTCTTTGAAATGTATAACCATCTAGATTTACATATAATCTTCTTCCTCCTTCATATCCTAGGGTTAAGAACATCCAGCCCCATCTGCGGGTACCTGTGGCCTTCAAAGTCTGGTCCAGGCTTTGAAGTCAGACAAACCTGAATTTGAAGCCTGGCTCTCACATATACTAGTTTTGTGGCCCTGGGCATGTTATCTAATCCCCCTGAGCTTGAATTCTCTTTGTACAGAGTCACTCTGGATTAGAGATGACGTATGTAAAGTGCTAAACACACAGTAGGTCCTCAGCAAGACAGAACTGAGTTAAGGAGGAGTTCCAGCACTGAGGATATTCTGAATCCATCTTTTCTTCTCTAAGTCACTTAAGTCACCATGTAGCACTGGGTATAACAGCAGATTAACTTTATTACACGGACCACATTCATTTTTGTATTAAACTCATCCTCCATATTAATGACTCCTTTAAAAATCATGTAAACACTTCAAGTTCAGAAGTGGCTTCCAAAGTTTTCACTTGTGCTGAATACCATTTACCAAAATACCCCTGGTTGAGTGGGACTCTAACACAGAACACACCCCAGCATTAATGCTGCACCACTTACAGACAGATTAATCCACAGTAACCCTTCAAGAATCTGATTGTCTGGTTCTCTCCCTTTAGGTTAGCATGCATGAACAGCAAACTGATGGCTCGGCGCCTGTGGCTCAAGTGGCTAAGGCGCCAGCCACATACACCTAAGGTGGTGGGTTCGAATCCAGCCCTGGCCCACCAAACAACAAT